CCGCCACAGCAACAGAACTCGGTCTTCGGCGCGGGCAATAATACTGGCGGCGGTGCATTCGGTGCGTGTACGGTTCCTGACTCGACGCCGCGATCTCATCTGACACTCAGGTGCGTTTGGAGGTGCGAACAGTAACAATCAGTCCCAGACTGGTGGCCTCTTTGGCGCGGCCAAGCCAGCAACGACCGGATTCGGTGCTTTCGGTGGCGGCGGGACCAACGCGTTTGGCGCTGGTGGTGGAGGCGCCTTTGGGACCCCGGCCAATACCCAAAATACCACGAATACGTTTGGTTCAACTTCGACGACCGGCGCTTTTGGGAACGCAGGAGGAGTCTTTGGCGCAAAGCCATCCGGTGTATTCGGTACCGCAACCACTCCCGCCAATCGTACGTGTTGACTCGTTTTGTGTATTCACCACAAACCCCTAATAAGCATTTAGCCAACACTGGACAATATGATGGCGTTGCACCTGTGACAACTGGCTCATCCAACCCTCCCTACAGCGTGTTCTCAGACAAGGACGCTGCCAATCCTACCGTCACCCTTCAATACCAGAGCATAACTTGCATGCCACAGTACCGTGGCACATCATTCGAAGTCAGTGAAACCGCCACAGGATATTCATCGTGATTGAGATTGACATATGGTACAGGAGTTGAGGTGGCAAGACTACCAACAGGGTCGCAAGACGGCGTCCACAGGCGGGTTCGGCACGACACCGTTTGGTCAGACCCAGTCAACAGCTACCGGTGGCGTCTTTGGTGCCGCGCAACCCGCTCAGAATAACAGTACGGGCTTCAGTGCGTTCGGCGGCGGTACCACCGGCGGCGCATTCGGTCAACAGAATAACGCTGGCGGTGCGTTCGGTGGAGGCGCCTTTGGTCAGCAGAATCAGCAACAGCAGCAACCCGCCGCAACCGGGTTTGGGGCGTTTGGTCAGAATAATCCGTCGCAGCAGCAACCAGCGACTGGTACTGGCCTGTTCGGATCCAGCAACACTGGTGCCTTTGGCGCGGCCAATAACAATCAGGCGAAACCGTTCGGTGGTGGCGCTTTCGGTGCGTATTGTGATGTTGCGTTGTCATTCGCAGACTCACATGGTTGAACGTAGGCGCGACTGGCACGGGGGCGTTCGGCGCCACAAACACGAATCCCGGAGGCGGTCTGTTCGGTCAGAATAACCAGCAACAGCAACAGCAGCCGGCTGCGGGTGGATTGTTTGGACAGAGCAGTAACCAGCAGCAAAATGCTGGCGGTAACGCATTTGGTGGCGGCACGGGCGCCTTCGGTACGAGCGTGAACTGATATCGTTGGGATGTATACTAAATGACCTGCAGGGCAAACGAAACCCCCTGGTGGGTTATTTGGATCCACGACCGGAACGACCGGATTTGGTACGTTCGGCGCGAACAATCAGCAGCAAACCCAACAGCAGCCGGCTCAGACTGGCGGTCTTTTCGGCGCCGCAAACAATGCCGCCACAGCTGGCAGCGGTCTTTTCGGTCAAACCAACCAGAACCAGAGTCAGCCCGCAGCTGGTGGCCGTGCGTTTCCTGAATCCTGTCATACGCGCATCATTCTAAAAGTTATGTAGTTTTCGGCGCGCAAAACAATAATCAGCAACAGCCCGCAACCGGTGCAGGTCTCTTCGGGCAGAACAACGCCAACAACGCCGCCGGTGGTGGGCTGTTTGGCCAGAATAATCAGAACCAGCAACAGCAAGGACAGACGGGTGGCGCATTTGGCGGTGGCGGACTTTTCGGCGCAAAACCCGCCGTTCCCGTTGGTGGTGGCCTCTTCGGATCGACTACGAACAACGCTGGTGGCGGTCTTTTTGGGCAGAACAATGCCAACGCCAACCCCGGAAGTCAGCCAGCTGGCGGAGGGTTGTTCGGCGCTTCGACTCTGGGTCAGAACTCAGCGCAGCCTGCTCAGGGTGCGTTTGGTGGGCTCGGTGGTGGCAGCGGCTTGTTCGGTGCCAAGACGACTGCGCCTGCGCAGCCTGCTGCCGGTTTGGGTAACTCGACCTTTGGACAGACACTGACAACCTCTCAACTCGGTGGTGCACCTGCAGGCGGGGCGCAGGCGCCTTCGTTGCAGCCGTCTATCTCTCAGCCGGTCGCTACCAACCTTCCGATCTTCTCCATGCTGTCCTCGACGCCTGGGACGAGCGGCGTCAATCTCGACCAGTCAACCAAGAAAAAGTCGAGCTTATTCGAGGCACCCATATCGCAACCTAAGCCACATGTCTCCGGATACCAGCCCACTCAGAGCCAGAAGCTGCGCGGCTATGCTTCAAGCATGCGCGCTTCGACGCCGAATGGAAGCGGCCTCAACTTTTCACTGACGGCAGGCAAGCCGAACGTGCTGAACTTCAGCGTGTCCGGCTCGCGCATTGGGCCTGATGCGTTCACGACGTCTGCGGTGCAGGGTTCTGGGGCGTCGAAGTCCAGCGTCAAGAAGCTCATCCTGGACAAGAAGGTCGACCCGACAGAGTTACTGCGTCGCTCTAGCTCATCTCCCGCGCCCGGACGTGCCTCGTTCAATCCCGCCTTGAGCATACAGCACCGCGAGCGCGAGGCATCGGCCGCACCCCAGTCGCCTGCACCGGCCCCCAAACGCGGCACGCGCTTTGTTGGGCCTACTTCGAGTGAGATCGTCGATGAGCCTGCACCAGGCAACCGCCCTTTACAGGAGGGCGACTACTGGTGTCGCCCCTCGCTACAAGAGTTGCAGGCCCTGGACTTCGACGCATTATCCTCGGTCGATGGCCTCGTGGTCGGTCGTGTCGGCTACGGGCAGATCGAGTTCCTCGACCCTGTGGATCTGACCACACTCACGAAGCTGAGCGATCTGTTCGGTTCGCAAGTCGCGTTCGAGACGATGGAATGCTCCGTCTACCCGGATAGCGAGGACGTCGATAAGCCTCCGCCTGGCTCTGGATTGAACGTGCGCGCCCGGATCACGCTCTTGCGCTGCTATGTGCTTGATAAGGCTACGCGCCAGCCGATCAAGGATGAGAAGAACGAGCGCGCCAAGAAACATGTCGCGCGTTTGCGCTCGATGCCAGGGACCACTTTCGACAGCTTCAGCATCGAAGATGGGAAGTGGACGTTCACGGTTGAGCATTTCTAGACATGACCGGGGTTCGACCGAGGTCTATCACTTCCTGAATGAATGTTGCATGCTTGGTTCGCTCTGTCACTTTAGTACTATATACGCTTTCTGCCACGACGTGTCGATGGTGGTTTTCTCCTCATGCTCTTGCTGCTGTCACGACTCCGTAAATATGTCTCCTGTATGTGTGTGACTGAGTGCTGCATAATGTTCATTTGTTCTGAGCGGATGCCACTGCCACACGCAGCCACTCTGACAGGAAACGCTAGATCGTCTCCCTCGCATCTCGTGCGGCACGTGATGGCCGTCGGTCCGTGCGCGGCGGATTTCTTTCACCTTCCGCGGCGCGCGTCAAGTTCGAGTTTTCTTATCTCTTGTGCTCGGGCATGTACTGTCGCCAGTGAGGTCTTTACCGAGGCACAGTCTTTTGCTGATTGCAAATTACACATCCGAACACGTCTGTTGACTCCGGTCTTCAGCAATTTTTGGCCCAACCCTCACTCTACTTCGCACCTCGACATGCCGTATGCGGACTTCCAGGGACGGCTTGTTTGCGAGCCTGAGGAAGGGAGTTGCTTCCGTTGTTTATAAATAGCTAGCTTTACATTATACCAATGCTATACCGTTTTTGACCTTGCTATGTCAGTATGCTGTTCCGGTAAGACCCGAAATGAATAAAGGAAATGTCTGCATGCTTGTTACAAGTTTGTGAAGTCGACCCTCATGCTTTTGAGTCCCCGAAGCAGTGATTCCCATAGAAGTATGTGTCAGTCTGCGTGGGGACGAAGGCCATATGCTCATTTTCTCGTGTCCTACAGCACAAAGTAGAGCCAACTTGCATCAGACCACCATGTACATGGCTCCGCTTCACTATACCATGTGTGCAACAATAGACTGCCGGATAGTACGCAATCCCTGCTCCTCCTTCGTATCCGACTTCCATATACTGAGTTTTCATGGATTCGTGGACAGTCGAGCCTTGCACATTCACGTGCGTGGGGTGCGTGTCGAATAACGCGAACGAATGCCTCACTATTGAGGGATGGAAAGCATCATCCGATGTCGCTTTTGGCGCCGGCGCGCGGGCGTGCGCTTGAGACGACACGAGGCGTGCACGCTGTTTTCAGGCCTCCTGTTCCCCATGCTTTCTGGCTCCTATATAGACGGACTGCCTGGACGTAGGGCCAGTCGGCTTGCTTCGCGACTACCAATATCTTCCCGTGATTCATTCTCTATTCTGAGTCTGTTACTGTTCTCTATATTCTCTAGAGGTCTTTCCCTACCATGTCCTCCTCCGACGCTGGCTCGAAGCCAGCACCCAACAAGCCTTCTGTCCGTTCGCGCATGACCTCTCTTGTGCGGCGCTCGTCAACGGCATTAAGCTTCACGAGGCCTGGCGCTTCGTCCCGTCGATCGTCGTCAGAATCACTCACCGTCGACACCCACCAAACTCTGGCCCCTCCTGAAATTGCACTCGGGCATAAGATACCAAGCCCTGTGCTGGAGTCGCCTGTCGTTGCGCCCGCACCCATTGCTTCGCCCACTCCTGTCCAACCAGATTATCGTCCGCCCTCGGCACCTATCGACATTCCCATCAAGACCCCACCGCCCCACAACAACTGGGGTGACGGTCCAATTACAATAACCCCCAGCTCGATAGCTTCACCTGTGGTCATAGCGCGTTCTGAGGGCGCGGAGATATTGTTGGCGGCGGATGATGGTCGCTCATCTCACCCAGAGTCGCCGGCAAGAAACGAGGATGAACTGTCGATGGATGGCCTGCCTGGTGAAGTTGGTATCCAGAGCATTCCTGCTCCCGTACATGTGATACCTCATCCGGATGAGGGAAGCGAGGCGAAGTCGGTACGCACGCCGACGCCTCTTTCATCTTCATGTTGCTGACTGACGACAAATATCCAGACAAGAGAGGAGCCAGGTCTTGCAACCCCCAGTGTTCCGCCAAAGAACACCAGCTTCGTTCCTGGCGTTAGTGTTTCTGAACATGAACTGGCCTTGAAAGGCGACGGCTCAGACTCAACGGGTACATCGCTAGGGCCAAGCGCTCCTCCAGAAGTTTCCGCACTCGATTTTGCCTATTCCGGAGCGTCCCACGATGCTACCATCGCCCGTGAGCCGCCTTCTGCTACACGCAGCGTGTCTTCGATCCGAGCCTCAGGGCCTTCTCCAGGCTCTGATCAACTGGTGTTCGATATCAGTGCGATGGAAGGGCAACACCTAACCTCGATAAATGACGATGTCGAAAGTGGGCGTTCGAGGGGCTCTACCGTGTCATCTCAGGATCGCCCCCTCACACCACCGGCGATGTTTACACAGGCCAGCACGTCTGCGAAGACAAGTATTGCGCCGTCGGCTGAGAATATCGCGCCTATCGTCATCCTCGATCGCCCAGCGGACGGGGCCACTTCCACGTCCAGTATCCGGTGAGCTTTTCGTAGCCTTCGTCTTGCATATCCCATGACTCATCGACTTGCTGTGAGCATACAGCTTGTATGATGATCCCTTTGCAGACCCTGCGCCTGTAGCGGAGACGACAACGCGCGCGTACTCGCCAGATCGCGCGGCTTTCCAGAGTCCGATGTGAGTGGCATTCGTCTCTCTTCTCAGGACGTGGCGGACTAATAGACCAACTCGGGACAGGGACTCCCGTCCATCCGACCGTCAGTCAGCTCATTCAATCCCATTGTCTGTCCCTATGCCACAGCCTGCCATATTAGCTCCCGTGTAAGTCTTCATGTGCTGCTGTACGATCGTTGCTGATGCTATCATCCAGGGGTGTACAAGGGGGATCACACTGGAACGATCCTACTGGACCGAAATATGTCGACGAGTGGGCACTTTCCCACAAGCGTACGGTTACTTGCTGACTTAAGCCAATACGATTGTTAGCGAGCATATTCCTCTAGTCAGGGGTTCATCGCAAACCCCGAGCGAAACGACCGACTTCCCGCGGCTGATGCCAGATTACGGTGCCGCCCCGTCCGTAGACCTGACTTTCGAGCGCCTTGGATGGCTCATGCATGTTTTGCCGGACACAACTGTGTATTTCACGCATCCTGGGCTCCGCATCGTGACCGATATTGACCTCCGGTTGGAGGGTGCCATGCGCGATGTTTCGCGTTACCTGGGTGGACCACGTGTACGTCCTCCCGCTGGATGGGAGCTCTGGTTGCGTAGTGCAGGCATAATACCTGTCCGCGCACCCGAGCATTCCTTCGTCCATCACGAGAATCGCATAGTGGTGCCTGTGTCATACGAGCCTGAGGCCATCGAACCCTCTGTTGAAGAGAGCAAGTTATCTCAACTTTCCCATGCCGACGACTACTGACTGCCAAACAGTGATAACTCTACAAGCCATCTACTGGAGATACATAGAGAAACATCCTGCTCACCTCGTTCTCTCGCCTACCACCTCAGCCGAGGCGACAGATATACTTACCTGGGCGTACACCGACCGTTTGTTACCCCCCGAAGCTCGAGAGAGGATCCCTCCGTTCAGTCAGGACGAGTGTCATGAACTCTCCTCCATCTTGAGATCACTTGACGGTCAGTGAGATTAGTGTTCGCCCATATTCTCTTATGCAAGACTCATGAACATGTCCAGCGAATCCATCTCCGAATCATATGGCCATCCGGACGCGAGTCATAGCTAAGATCATGCTCCGTGTTTGTGAGTCCAGTGGCTGCAACTAGGAACCAAGTCTCATCGCATCTACAGGTCGGTGGAAACAGGGACAGGTCTCCACGAGAGAATACGAAAGTGCACCGCACTCGCTGTCTAACGTGCAGCCATCTTTTGTACGCCGCGCGGCCGATGTCGCTATGTCTATCGCATGTTTAGGTATCCCATATCTTTTCGTCGACCGGTCGCGCTCCCGTCGCGAATATCATGAAAATGGTATGCGGAGCGCCGCTGGGTCAATGCTGGTAGTCGGTGCGTCGCACTTTGCTCTCTGTTTCCATATATGACTGAATAGATCTGGAAGGGGCTGTCGCATGTGTGATAGTGAGTCTTAGTCGTCGACATTAACCCTGTCCTTGCAATCCCATGCATGTTCATCGCCTCAGGCAGCTGTAGTACTTGGGGCCTCAGTCACCCTGATCTCGATACCCGGACTCAACGATATCTCGCGCATCGCAAGCTGCATCTCCATTATCCTCTCAGCGTCAAGCTTGGTTTCAGCTCTCTTGGCGCTCCTTCGCTGGAAAACGGATGTGGAACGCAACGTATACTCTGGAATCGGTCAAGAAGGTTTCATGGTTATGACTGTACGTCCCCCTTAGTCTGGATCAGGGAAGGCGTGCGGCTAACGACTCTATAACTACACCAGACGAGGAGTGTACTCTTGTCGTTACCGTTGGTATTCTTGATATGGGCTATAGCTGCATTCGTCATTGGAGTTGCCCTGCATATGCTCCGGGGCTTGGTTCTGCCTCGTCACGTTGGCAGATATATGCAGTGGGTTGTCGTGGGGACTTTCGGCGGCCTCGCTGGCATGTTGTTCGCTTGTGGGCTACTGATCTTGTGAGCTCGTCGTTAGGTAGCTGTATCGGTTTCAGTCGTCTATGTTATTCACTGTTATGGATTGTACTGCGGCATCACGAGATGTGTTTTGTGACTACAACAAAGTCGATCAATCGCGCGCACTGAGAGAGCTATGGACGACGAGGCGCAGCCGCCGTGCAAGAGGCCGTGGGAAGTCGCCAGCGCGCGAAGTTTACCGCCGTATCCAGTGCTGTAATCAACTGCATCTGACGTGATAACAGCTCAAGGCATGATAGAAGCAAGGCGGGTACCGTGGGCTCAGTTGGACCCCGTGTCGCGAATGCGAGGAAGGACAATGTTGACGCTAGCTGTCCGGTATGGAATGAGCAAGATGGTGTTCGCTTCGACGCTTGCTCTCACCGTCGCTCGCCGAGTTAGTGACTACATCGGCGAGCGCTGGAGGCGACGAATTGATCGAACAGCCAGAGTGGTGGTGGGAAAGGGTACCATTCGTTCGAAGGCAATAGGCGGGTGACCGCCTGGCACCGCGGCAAGTGCGTAACCCTAACCTGACCGCCGGGCCTTTTGTTCTCGGCCGAACGGCTTTGTCTCCCGCCGCCATGACCCTTGGGAACCACGCCTTTGGCCTCCAGTCCGCTTCTTTGTTAAGGCTCTATATTAGGACTGACACAGTGCTCCACGTTACGCCATTGCAATCACCTGGCTCGCATCTTACTCCGCAAGCATGCCCCGCAGTCTATTCGTCGAACCTCCACCTGAACTTCCTCTTTCGCTGGCCCATTTTTTGAACCTGGCTTTCACGTGCATCTACGTGCTTCCTTTGATCATCACGAAGTGGACGAATCCTGCGCTCTTTCGGCCTGACGTTCTCGCCACGGGTTGGCGGAACGATCCTCTCGTCATCAAAGCCAGATTGCTCTCCGTTTCTGTCGCTACTCTCTTGTCTTGCTGCATCATGCATGTGATCATCAACGCTGGGCACTATGATGATCTGAAGGTATGCCTCCGAATAAATTGGGGATTGGGCTAACGTCTCCCAGACAGGGCTCCAATCGACTGTGCTTCATCTTGGCCTGTTCATGCGCAATCGGGATATACTCGCTTCACTCGTGACGCCAGTGTTGTATACAGGCCCATTTTACGCTGCATATCTCTCTGGAGATCTTCCTTTTAGGTCTGGGCGCTCTCTGAGCGAACATATACACGCTCATGTCCAAGATTGGCCTGGAATCCGGAACTACGTGGCGGTAAGCACAAATTGTCCTTAGAAGCAAAGCGACAACGCCTGAATCCGTCCAGGGTCCCATAACTGAGGAACTTGTTTGGCGCTCGTGTATTATAGCTGCTTATCGCTTGGCCGGGGTCTCACGGGGATATATCATATTCATGACCCCATTGTCTTTCGGCGCAGGTGAATTCTTTCATTCACTCTCATGGCATTCAGGCGTGCTAAAGAGTTCATGCTCTGTAGCCCATCTGCATCATGGATATGAATCTTATGTTAAGCTTGGTCGCACTCGAAAAGCGCTCGCAGCTGCCGGTTTGAATACTCGTTAGTGACAGGTAATCCCCACGTCAGTCTTAGCTGACGCGCACTACCAGTATTTCAATTCACTTATACTACGTTATTCGGGTTTCATTGCGCCTTTCTCTTCTGCCGAAGAGGGTCAGTAGTTCCTCCTCTTGTTGCTCACGTCTTCTGCAACATCATGGGAGTGCCTCAGCTACCGTACGAGCTTCGGCAATTCCCTCGCAAGGCTCAACGTGAGTTATCACCGGGCGGCCTTGATTGACGGATGATGATATATTTCGTCCAGAGATAAAGTTCTTTTATATGGTTGGAGTAGTGGGCTACGCTGCTGCGATGCGCTGGTGGACATAAGCGCAACACTGTCCCTATCTAGACCTTGATACCAACTTGATACCGTGCACCTCCCAGTCTCGCCTAAATTTGCAATGTGCATATAGTAGTGACGTCAACGATTGGCCTTGATATCTATACCACGCCTGTCTTCGCGAAATTGCACACTGACAAGTACTATATGACATAACGGGAAACAGTAAGATCGCAATCCCGCCACCATGCGTACGGCATGGGCTGGCATGGGAGAGCACGGCAAGGGCCGAATCCTTAGGCGGCCCGCGCGACGCGACACGCCTCTGTTCGAAACGAACTACCATCAACTTCACATATTCCACTACTCTGCTCCTAGTTCGTAACGCGTCATGGGTCATAACAAGCGAAAACGTGACGAAGGCGACGGCGACTCAGATGAGGATCCTTTGTACGGCATGCGGCAGATACTCCCAGTCGCATCCCTCCCAGCGAACTATGATGGTGAACCTGTGGACGGCATGCAGTATCTTTTCACGGTTCGGTACGTAGCTCGGGGCCTCATGCGCGCGCCACCTCTCATGTATACATAGACGCGATGCAAAGCTGTTGCCGGCCGTGACGCGAGTACCGAACCCATATGAACTTGACCCGCCTCCCGCCCCTCCCGAAAGCGAGCCTCCCGTTAACGCCGTCAACAAGGTGGACCCAGCCCATCTGTCTGGGGAGTGGCGAGCGACCTATATCCGGAGATTTCAGGGATTCAGAAATGTAAGTTGCGTGATTTGCTCGTTTGTACCGAGCCTTGTATTCACCGATCAGCACAGAACTTGAGCCAGCCAACCTCGGAAACATCGACCCCCACGCGAGGAAAGTTGATGCCGGATAAAAAGGACAGAGATGCGTGGTGGGACTTCATAAGTGGTGCGCCGGAGTCCGTGTGGAATAAAGCACCATCCAAACGTTCCACAAAGCCCAAGCGTAAGAGCGGCGGGGGTTCACACGGGGAACTAGATCCCTCCGATCCCGACGTTATCGCAGCGGGCTGGCAAGTCGTGGAGCCGTCCCCTCAACTTCCGTGCGACGTCAACCACCGAAACACGATATCATCTACCACCAGTCCAGCAGAGGCAGGTCCAGGCTCCTCGTCATCAACCAATCCTCGCGAACCCACGCCCGCACTCGTTTTAACGATGGATCATGTAGGACTCGCTATCGTCCCTTGTCGAATGACTCGCTGACGATGCGACAGCGTATGGCGATACACCTCATCATGTACTTCACGTACTGGATAAATCAACACCTTGAGACCTCGGATCGTGCGCACACTGCAGCAATGGAGTCATACACACCCCTTGAGTCTCATGCGCGGTGGATCTTTGCACTCCTAGCCCGCGTAGACTCATACTGCTCGGCCGATGACATGAATGGCTTGCGGTCCCTCGTACGCGCATGCTTGGCGTATATGCGCTCTCGGAACACTCCCTCCAATACGCCGCTTCTCGATCACAATGATGGGGATGATGACAGCGACATAGCGAGCACGCCCGGCGGTCAACCAATCGGGCTACCGGCAACAGAAGAACCTGTGTACTCTGCAACTGAGCTACCCCCTGTCGCAGGGAAAGAAGCACCGGCTCTTGACATTTCCTCTCGAACCCCGCCTTTGATGAGTGCCAACTCTGTGCGCCTTATTCTCTGTGCGGTGGCGGATTTCTGGCAGCAGAGAGATCTGTGGGCAGACGCCGATGGAGTCTTCGCCTGATGTTGGTTCGTGTATATATAGTACCAGTCCCTCGTCGCTTGTGTTGCTACTAGATCAGCTTATACCTCTGCTTGGCAGGTGTCATTCGTTGAACAATAGTTCCCCAGGCGTAGCAGCGCCATAGGTACGGATCAAGAAACCAAACATGATATCGATTTTTATGGCGTTTCTGCCCGTCGGCACAAGTATCTGCCTTCCGTAAGGCTCGTTTAGGCGCTCTCAACCCAAGGCGCGCGCATCGATGCCTGAAGCGCTGAGTCGTACAAGCCGCTTGCCTCTGGTAACTCACTTAGCACGCTACTCTTCTACCTATATCCTTGTGTGACCTACGGATCGTCTTATGCTATCTCACTAAGCAGGTCCTTGCACTGTCCTGCGTGTGCATATCGACCGTCTCACGCAGCCTGATCATCAACAGAAGCTGTGGCTCCGCCAAACACACGAATGACCGCGGGCTGGTCTATACCTTTACGGATGCAACCCGTCCTGTCAGAAGGCCGGCTCGCTTGCCTCCTTCTCTTCTTTAACGGATGCAAGTGTTCTTACGACTCGTTACGACCGTCGTTCTCTCGGGCTATATCCGTTGCAAATGCGTGAATGCCAGAGACCACATGATTCCCGTCGTGCGCATACACAGCCTTGCCCGGTGGCGCCTGCCGTGTTTCGGCCACCTCAAAGGGGGGAGAGGGCGGGGAACAGCTTTCAACCCTTATTCCAAACATGCTAAAACCAACGCAGCCAAAGTAGGATGCGAAGCTTTCCACGTAACGTCCCTCTGACAGGAAAGGGTGCGGCGGCGACGGCCGCCGTCGGATTGACAAAACAGGAATGTAACGTTGGGGACATGGCGCACAGGGTTAGGGTATCTATTGTTTCCCTTGACGGAACAGGAAACGGACATTGTGCCTGTAGCGATCTTAACTCTCTTTCTCAGGATCTCATGTAGCAACCGCTCCGGGACGTCGACGTGTGCCTGCTGTGAGCTTGAGCTGATGTGCGAATGCCGAAGAACTCTGCCAAAGACCTCCGTAGTACGATTAAGCGGTGAGTTCACCTCGGCCCGCGATGGAGGGCATCTTCCGCAACGACTCACAAAGGATGGTCACTAAAAAGGATAGCGGTGCCACGACCCCCACGACTCATGAGCAGAACAATAGCATCCTAGACCAACTTGGGCGCGTGTTTGATATCGCGCGATGATCGCAATCGCCATCCCAAGCCTCGCTGCCTTTTGCCGCATGTAGACCATCCTATAAGGGCTCCTCCCCTTGTTCTGCTCTCAGCTCCTCTCCCGGATACGCAAAGCTCAAGCCGGCCTCTTTGCGCCGTTCTTATCTGCATTTCTCTCCTGTCTGTCTCGTCTATCCTTGCCATCGAGGGTATTTTGTCCTTCGCCACCACTACAATCGCACTGGAAAACAGATTGATTGAAATCGTTCAGGTACGCGTCTTTGTCAACAATTAGACGCGTGGGAATGTGCTAATGATTAGACATGTGTAGTACGGCCATGGGGAAAGAGGAGAAGAAGCACGCGCGCGACAAACCACCCCGACCGCGCAACGCCTGGATGCTTTTCCTCTGCGCGTATCATGATGAGCGCAAGGCAATGCGAGAGCCACCGCTCATCGACCCAGAGACAGCCAAGCACACCAAGATCGTGTCTGAACGCTGGAAGAATCTCCCTATGTCAGAGAAGGAGAAATGGCACGCCAAGGCTGAGAAGGAGAAGGAAGAGCACGCTGCGCGATATCCTGGTTACAGGTATCAGCCCTCAAAACACAAGAAACAACGCACATTCTACGGAGGCTCCAAAGCACATCGCAAGATGCAAGGCTTAATGCAGGCAGCTCAGGCGAAGATTCAGCAGGACGTTGGCGGACGTTTAATTTGGGTCGATGTCGCCGAGAACGGCCAATCTATCGCTGGACAGGTTGAACTGTACGATGTGCCACAGGACAACGGGCTGCCTTCTTCCATCGTCGGCATCCACCCCTATGATCATGCTCTCGTATCTGCATCTCACAGTCCCGTCTTCCTTAGACCGGTTGCGCAGTACTCCGGGCCTCTCAGCGAGCGGGCCCAGTCACTCGGTCCTGATAGCGACGATGATGAAATGTATGGTTCAGCACCACCGGACAGCGACTGGGAGAACGACTGCGCCGATGAGGACGACGCGGAGCTCCAAACGCCTGACAGTGCTACATACCCGAGGCGCGACTCTGGCTCGGATCCCTTGCGGATTGTCATGACTGTACAGAATGGACTGGGCACGCTAACGGAGGTTGACGCTGGCGTCCAGCCGTCGGATCCTGGACGGCCGTTGAGCCCCCCTATCCCTGTCATGCAGCTCATTCGAGAGTCTCGCAAGGCAGGGAAGCCCGTTGGAGCATGGCAACGTCCTGTGGGCCGTGTAAGGCTCGAACACGCAGACAGATACGTCTACACGCCCGACACATACTCAGGCAGAGAACGTTCTCAGTCAAGTCCGACGTTATATTCGTCTTCGTCGCCGCTGTCCGCGAGCTCTCCTCCCCAGTCCGAGATTACAGGGTCGAGATCTTCTGAACATCATGGAAGCGGCCCTCCAGCCGCTAGTCCCATTGCACTGCCCCTATCCGCCCAGCCATACGTACGCTCGCCATATCACGCCTGTTCGCACTCCTCTACGCGGCGTCATCGTGATTGTCCACCCTCTCCTTCGCGCTATATGACTTTCCACGAACATGCTCCACATTCAGCCCATCCATATCGCCGTCCCCCTGATGCAAAGCTGCATGGTCGCTTGGAGCTGCATTCAACTGGACCGGCCTGGTTGCCTCCCCCAGGCTCTGGTGTACCTCCCGTGCCACCAGCACGTCGACCCAGTTGGCTGCCGTCTCTCGCCAGGCCAACATCACCCTCATTTCCACATGACGCCTCCGCCTCTCGTTTAGCAGAGTCGCCGTTGCGCGTCAAAGAAGAGGACACCGACGTCGCTATGGGTGGCGCCAGCGCGCCAAAGGATCTCCCGATCAAACGGGAAGTAGTCGAAGATGTCGATGAACTAGACGATGATCAGTACCCGCTCTATCAATCAGATTTAGGCTCAGATGGTACAGTGGGGAAACGCCTGCGGCATGGACTGCAGTTGGCGCCAATACGTTCGGCGCCTCTATCTTCTAAGGGAGATATTCGTCTGCCCCCAATCCGGATCCCACACGCACCTTCTCCTACGCATTCTCCACGTTCTCTCCCAGCGTCTGCTTACCTGAAGGGCCCGGCACCCGGCTCGCTCGGACAATACTCGCCACAACATACCCCGTCAGCGAGCGCCGGGCCTTCTTCGACTTATTGCCTGGATCCAATCTCGCGCACGACGTATCAAGAAGATCATCGGGAGCGGGAGGTTCGGGGTTCTCGCGCCACATCTGTGGCGAGGCACGAAGCTCGTTCTCACACGCCGACCCACGGCCGCACAACCTATCCTGGTGGTGGTTACTATCGCGGACGAAGTCATACCTACAGCAACGACGCGCGAAATCCCTTTCCCAACGGCAGCTGCGTCGCTGAGCAGTCCACTGAACGTGCGAGCGCGCGACGTCTACAATCGCCGAGTGCGCGACGCGCCGAGCTATGCTCTTTCTCAAACCCAGTGTCCACTGGGAGTACTGCTACATTTACCTTACGCCCGGCGCGATTCTGATTTACCTTCTGTCTCAAGCAGTATACCTCACATTCGTTCTATCTTCTTCCGCCCCATTCGTGTCGTAGAGACTTTTCATGTATGTTATCGCCAGAGTCAGCCACATGTAGCGCATGCTGTATATATACCTATTTCACTGGCCATCGTGGCCCTTACTTACGGCATGCCATAGCTTTGACGTGTAAGGCGAGATAGCGCGCTTGCCAGCGGTTGGGCACACACAGTCCCAGTTCCTAGTGCGAGTTCAAAGGCTGGTTGCATGGAACGACGAGGGTGTACAATGAGAGCGATCAGGGATACAAGACGAACAACTATGACAGCGGCAAGAGAACGGGCATCATTTCGCCCGTGCGAGTGAATATGATGAGTGAGCGACATACGCGAAAAGGTATTCGCAAGATGCGTGGGCGAGGAGGGACACAGCCGACGGACAAGTCCAGAGTATAAGGGTCGCGACACGAGGCGGATAGAATTAGAATAAATCTTCAAGGGTCATTTGCTTTACAATGTCCTGCAATTGTGCATGTCAGTGAGAAAGCACGAGCCAATGACTTGAGGACGACGCACGGTATTCGCTACCATGTTCGTGAACTCCTCAAAAGAGAGTTTTCCATCTCCGTCTTTATCAGCCTCCATGATTGTCTTATCTACGATCTCTTGCAGTTGTGCGTCCTTCATAACCAGGCGTCAGGGAGGAGTAGAACCAACAACAAGCCAACGCACCTTCAGATTGTTACCCACCATCATCTTCAGAACAAGGAAGAGTTCCCCGTTCGAAATGAAGCCGTCGCGGTCCATGTCATATACCTTGAAAGCAACTAGAGAAGTTACTACAAGAAGGCGGAGCCGATGGCGAGGCACATACATCTTAACTTCTCCTCGCGTCCACCCCGACTACTGAACGCGCTCAAACCGCCGACAAACTCCTGGAAATCCACAGTTCCTCCACCGCTGCACAAATCATACAATCAGATCAATCAACTAAACCGGATAGGAGGGTGTGGCGTGTGTGGCGTATAGGTTGTTAGAAAGAACACGCACTCCTCGTCGAAGATGGCTATCATCCTAGATGCAAGAGGGTTGTTTGCTATCTGAGGGATTTGAAGAAACTCTTCGCGATCTATAGAACCGGATCCGTCGCTACGCAATGCAGATTAGCGTCTGCGCGCCGATCACAAAGTAGAGGCTCACCTATCCAACTTCATAAATCGCTTTTTCAGCCGTTCAAGCTCGGAAGCGTTGACTGATGAATATGTTCAGCAAGTAACACACATGCCACCGATCAGGACGCACAGTTGGACCGCTTCTCCATGTCCTCCATGAATTGTGAGGCTTTATGAGATTCAGAGTGGGATTTGGCCTATTGTGCTGGACGGACTGACGCGATTGTCCCATGATGGTAGTTCGGGTAGGTAGGCACGGGTGAAAGGTTGGGTGTGCAGGATAGTGGACGCCAGAAGCAAGTCGAGACTCGAGAGCGCTGCTCCATGTGCGCGCCTGTAGCTTGGACGCGGCCACGTGTGCAGCGGAGGCGGAGCGCGTCGCGCCGCGCTTCGTCCTGTACTCTGACTTCGACGTTGTTTGATGCGGCGAATATGGCGGCCGTGCACGAGGCGACATCTATCTGCTTACACGTCTGTTGAATCTACTCCCAAAACGCGGAGTGCAGCTATCTTCCGTGCCATACCGAACCAATATTTCAGCAGCTCCAGTCGCGATTCCTCGACCGCCAGTACACAGGTGAACTGGACGCAGCCCCGTTCGCCTGCCGTTTCGGACGCACAGCGTTCAACCATATATGCTCTCGCTACCGCATCCGGTCCGGCTGGTATAGCCATTGTGCGCGTATCTGGTCCCCGCGCAAAGGATGTACGGGCACGCATGGTTCGCCCCGCTCGCCGAGGTTTCGTCAAAGATCCCGCCCCCTGGAAGCTCGAGCGTTGTACCATCGTTGATCCTGATAGTGGAGAAGAGCTTGATGATGCCCTAACCGTCTTCTTTCCCGGTACATCACCGTCTCTTGCACGTCTCGCACAGATGGCTCACATTCGAAAGGACCGCGGTCGTTTACGACTGAGGACGTACTAGAGCTCCATATACACGGGGGACGTGCTGTAGCACAAGGTGTACTCAACGCTCTTGGGAAGCTACAATTTGCACGCGGAGCGGGTCCCGGTGAATTCACAAGAAGGGCGTTTGAAGCAGGCCGGCTGGATCTAACTCAAGTTGAGGGTATCAAAGATCTAGTCGATGCTCGTACAGATGCGCAGAGGAGAGCGGCCCTCAGGGCTACATCTGTGAGTGAACGTTGAAACCATCGATGCCTTGCGACGAATGACGAACTATGCCTACAGGGAGCCTCGCGGAGAACGTATGAGGCTCTGCGGACCGATATCATCAAATGTCTCGCAAACGTCGAAGCGGTCATTGACTTCGGTGACACAGAGGACGTGGAGGTTGGTGTACTTGAAGCGGGTAACAGCGATTCACTGGCTCGCGATGTCGCCAAATGCTTACCTTGTACAGCTCAGGCACGTGCAGCGGAACTCCATAAGCGGATCGATGTCATGCTCGCGGACGGCCGGCGTGGTGAACTAGTGCGCTCGGGTGTGCGCCTAGCTCTGTTTGGCCCGCCGAACGCCGGCAAGAGTTCACTACTAAACTTTCTCGGTCAGTCAATTCCGCTTTAGCAGCTACCAATCACCTACTATTGATGACTGATATGTGAGCTTATAGCACAGCGTGAAGCAGCGATCGTTACGCCCATACCCGGTACTACGCGCGACGTTCTTGAAGTATCCGTGGACCTCGGAGGCGTCCCCTTGCTCGTTTCCGACACAGCAGGTCTGCGTGAATCGACCGATACTGTCGAATCCATTGGAATTGCCCGAGCACGTTCCGCGATTGAGGGCGCCGACCTACGCCTGTTGGTGTTATCTCTACCGGACGTACTCGAGAATGGAGACAACATTCTTGTACCGCCAGAGATGCGAGGCTTCGTTGCGGATCACCCCAAAGATACCTTCATACTATTGAACAAGATTGACATGGTGCATACGCCGGCGCGTCTAGATAGCTTGGCAGCTGCCGGCGCGTGGGCTGTCAGTCTGACTGAGGAGCGGGGAACCAGCGACTTCTTGCATGGATTTGCGCGTGCACTACGGAAACGGTGAGATGCTCAATTATCCACCATTTGTCACACCAGCCAATATGCGCATAGGTACGACGTTCTGCAGGGTTCCCAGGACGCCGAGAATGCACCTGTCGTTACCCATGCCCGGCACAGACAGCACCTAGAGAGCGCATCGCGGTTTCTGGGCGCGTTCCTTGCTCACGGTACGCCGTGTCGTGTCCGTAGCTTGAGATTGTAGACTGATTGCCTGCCTTATAGGGCCAAGCGACATAGTGCTCGCCGCCGAAGAGTTGAGATACGCGGCGCAATCGGTCGGGCGTATTTCGGGCCTGATCGATGTTGAAGACATACTTGATGTAGTTTTCCGTGACTTTTGCATAGGCAAATGATGTGTATACGCGCTAGTCTTTGCAAACGCGTTTCTTAACACTCGGAGGAGTCTACGAGTATCCCCGTGCGTTGCGTCGAGGAGCATGCGTGCAGCTGCATCGGTCCTTGACTCGAGCCTCCCTCCGTCTTTCGCAAGCGATTTTGCCGCCTTAGGGACATTGTACCGACAAACACTCGGTGGTGGGGCATGATGCGTGTGAGATGAATGATGTACTGCCATTGCGATGATGGGGAGAGGGGAGCCAGTGCGCAGTCGATGCTATTTAGAACAGTGGTGGTGTTATATGAGTTGTATGGTACAGACACGAAAGATGACAAACAAGCGAGAAGCGGAAGCGTGCAGTCGTTATGATTAATGTACAGTCCTTTCCTTGATGACCTTGCAAGAGCGCAGGCCAATGACGGAGACGGGATGAGGTTTATGTCAGTGCGAGCAGATGATCATGGAGAGAAGGATCAGAGACGGGTCATGCGGATGGGATGCAGTCTGGGGGGCAGAAGCGGGGCAGCGAACGGGATCGCGCGCCGGGTGGCGGGGCATGGGCGGGTATGGCGAACGAGCTGGGCGATGGCTCCGATGACTGCCAGGGGTATAGGTATGATGCTGGAGAGATGGCACTAGTGGGCGTGCTTATCGGTCGACGAGTACGGGGCCAGCGTCCCGTTGGAAGGCCGACGGGTGATTGGCGCGCGAGAAGTACGACTGCTGGGCGTGCTGGGTGAGCGCGAGATAGAACGGGTCCGTGGTCGTGAAGAGCGAGGCCGGCTCCTGGGCGCACTGCTGCGATATCCCGTACGGTGGCTGGGGCGTCGGCGCCCACGTGGCCTGCGACGGCTGTTGCTGCTGCGTCCACGGTGCGCTGGGAGCCGCGGTCGTGGTCGGCGAGGCCGGTGCCACCAGCATGTCTTCGACCATCATCTCATCCTCCCGATCGTCCTCGCTCGCCATCGTCGTCTGCTGCGCGGGCGAGTTCGCGTGCGGCTGAGCGAGAGAGTTGCGGCGGATGGGCATCGGCATCCCTTGCGTCGGCCGGCGGTCCCCTTGCAGATTCAGCTGTTGTGCCATCTGCGCCTTTTGTGGCGACCGATTCAGAATGCGGGGTAAATGTAAAGATAAGATAAAGTGGGCAGACCTTGAAGGCCTGAAGGTCCAGCTGCTCCTGTCCGATATGCGAGGTGCCAAAAGAGGCGACAAGATCGTCAACGGAGAAGCTCATGTGGGATGATGTGACGAGGAAGAGCAGGGGGAGAGAGCAAATAGCACTCCCGGCCCGCCATATAATAATCGGCACGAACGTCGGCTTCGGAGAGATCCGCGTGCCTGATGTGGCTGGCCGCACGGCATGATGTTCAACGTTTTTCGCTCTCCCGTTCATCCCTTTCTGCAGCGGTAGTACTTATGCTTCTAGCGTTGAGAATATCAGCGAGGCGGACATACACTCCTCTATCCTGCGTCTCCCTTCCTCAAGGGCTCGATCCTTTCTGCTTGTGATCCCACGGCATACGTTTTCCCCGAATTGGAGCGCTGTCAACCATACCCCGCTTTCGCTAGACAAACTTTCTTCGGCATCGGGCCGTCCCGCCGTTCTCCTCCCGGCTCCAGTCTTTCCCCTTGCGTTCGTTGTAGGCGATGCCGTCAGAACGCCTGCACGAATCCTCGAGGCTCAGTCCGCTTCGAGCCCAGCAGCTCCTGTTCCTAGACTCGCCGTTGGCGGCGGCCGCGAATAGGCTAAAGGTATGCATGTCCGTTGCAGCGTCTCATATGGCATGCTCGGTTCTTCCACCGCCGGTCACCTCGGTCTACGTCAAACCCAGATGCTTGCTTCCTGTACTGGTTCCAGACCCCAGCATCACTTGCACCAGTCGTTGACGACGCCGCCTTTTCACTTCCGAACTCACCGATCCTATCGCTCGGCCCCGCCCGTTATCCGCAAAAGACTGGTTCGCCCTGCCAGCCGCCCAGACTACCGCTGTTTTGCAATCCTTCTTACCGAGCCTTTCATACATACCACTTAGCGCTCGTCTCTCGCAGCGTGGTAGCGAAGTCAGAGGACCATGCGCTAGCCCCATAAGGGTGCATTCATGTGCAGATGACCCTTGCCCTAAGTGCGACATGAATGCATTTGACGCTTCGACCGCTCACAGGCCAGTCTAAAAACAATTGTGTTCGTATGCCGCTGTAACCTACGCAGCAAGCGCTTTGCTTTGCCTCAAAAGTATACTCCATAGGTGCAGAGTCTCGCGGTAGAGGAGTCGAGGGCCCACGGGAGACCAGAGACAACGGGCATCATGAATGATGAATATGGACTGTTTGCGAACCTCGTTATAGGTCTTTCATAAGGGGGTTTCCATGTCAATGATCAAGCTTGGCACGTGCTACTAGATCGAAGCTGAAGGGATACATAGTGGACGTCACCGCATCTATATTGTTCCCTAAATCGTCTGGTGAGCACGGACAACCTGAGCGAAGGAACGAATGATCACTTTCACAAGCGACCGTTGGACCAAAAGTTCTTGGATACGGCAAAGGAGGTATTTGCGACATTCCGCGCTTGTGAAGTCCTTCTCGACCGGTTTAAACCTCTTGTCGAGCATCGACACTGTGATCCCTGTTCAAGTGCAGCTCAGTGTATCGTGATGCCTGTGACATGGCCCAGCTTACGCACCGGCACTCAAAGTCCATGTCATCTCAGCGACAACTGTTGTCCACGCACGGTTGAGTTGCCGTTGAGCTCTTAGCGTGCATTCATCTGCAGGCGGATGTGGGCCGGGTGGTGGCAAGAGCAGACGTTTTAACGCTTCGACGCGCCCAAGATGCAAGAAAAAGAGGCGCTTGAGGTAGCATGGTCCGATGCGAGTGGCACATTCGTCGGAAATATCGGAAAGGGAGACAGCAAGGGTATATGGCGACACGATGATTGCGAGTTTATCAAGTTCCGCGTGAGCGGCAAGCGCATAGCATGCGAGGGGCTCTGCAGGGGCATGTTGCGAGATGATCTGGAAGAGTGGTATGGCTGGGGAGACAAAGACGGCTTTAGGAAGCCCATAGAACTCAAGAGCGTCCACAGCTCTAGCTGAGTAATGCGTGAGTTAGATGATGTGCGATAGCAAGGGGAATACACACCGAGCTCGTCGACTGAAAGAGTGTATCGCGCAGGTGAAAGACCGTACATCGCATGCAGGATCAAGTTCAGGGTTGTTGATGATAGCGGGACGGGAATGACAGGCGCGCAGACAAGGAGCCCACCAAACCCATTGTATGAGCTTGAATCGAGTTTGGCGAAGTGCGCAGCGAAGTGCACCCCGTCGTCCGCGATGAGGTCCGTATCAGGTATGTTGCCCTCGGGATCCACTGCATCCCAGCGAAATGTGCTCGACAAATGATATGGTGGCGGTTGCCAGTACAACTCTGGCTCTGGTTCTGGCGCGTGAGATGGCTCAAACAGCACGGTTGAGGTGTAAGAGGATGGGTCCGTCCAGTAGATCTGCGGATGGGCTACAACGGGAATTGAATCTCGGTAGACGGTGGTGCCCGGGGTGAATTCCATCTGTACATCGTCTTGTACGTAAAGTGGCAGTATCTCGCAGCCGTCGTTGACAGGATAGGGATAGGCGCCATCGTAAGCGCCAGCTTCTATGGCGCCGTATAATGCGAGAGGTGCGGGAGAACCTGTCACGTTCGCACTGTGGTTGAGTAGATATAAACCTCGGTGCCTCGATTTAGTCTTTGATAGCATATGCGGAGTGAATAAAGAAGCTCATCTGCGCCGCTTATCCCTGCTATCAAAAGGACTCTGTATGTAAGCTTCTGTTCGCGGAAGATGCATTTGTGCAACAACTTCTCTCGGCAGCGGTGAAGGATGCGGGAAGTATATTTGAGACTGCCTACCCGGCCGGCCTAGCTCCAAGCTGAAGGTGGCTACTGTACCGTAAAGACAGTGCCGAGAGTCATGCTATGTACTGGCATAAACAGCATCTGAGCCTGGCAGCTTGCCCTTTTCCGCATCAAAAGCGAGTTGATGAGAGCAGAAGTCCCGAAAGAGTCGGAATCTTGCCTGTTTCGACACTGGCGAACGTAATGACCGATAGGCGCAAGGCATGACTGCGCCTTCTGCGCGAAGCAGGGTCTACGTCGACGATTGCGGTGGTATTAGTGTACCTCTTCGGTAGCTAGACAGATCACAGCTCTCATGGCCCGTACATGCGACTTTGCGAGGTAGCAGGCAAATGTCGGCATCATGTTACGCAGGTTCTGGACCAGGGTCGATTTGAATGCAGAGATCACATGATGCCAGGCATTCACTACAAGGGATTAAGCCAAGATTGAGCTAGTCGTAACAGGCTTCAAGGGAACGTCGAGCAGGTGCAATAGTGGGCCGACTTGTACGACGACGTTTTCGGATGCTAGTCACGTCGCCTCGGTTCACGCACCATCTGTCCTCAAAATGGTTCAAAGTAGTGCATGATACACAGTCTGGAATGTACGCACGAACTTGATCACAACAGGATTCGCCTTGTGCACAGGATTATCCTGGCCTAATACGATGTCCCTGACGGTGATGAACCCGCTCGCCTCATAGAATCTCGTGTTGTTGGTGTTGGTCGAGGTCAGCCAAACTTTGCGATTCTGGTCATCGGCCTGTACGGATGTTCAACGCTCACGACTATGTATACTCGAGGGGTTGCGATCTCACCATCGCGCACAAGAGCGTCAAGAGCGAAAGACCGTAGCCTCGACCCTGCACTACGGGGTCGGCGGCGAGAACATTCAGACAGATAAGTTCATGGGAACCCTCTCCAAGAACACTTGTCCGCGCTTCTGCGAGCTTCGTTCCATATTCAGCGTCGCGTCGTTGCTGCTCTGGGGTACATAGGATAGTCTTCAGGCGCTGGAAGAAGTTCATGATAAACATGTACAACCAATCGGGCGGCGGGGAGAACTCCGATGCTGGGTTCCTAAAGCATCATTTATAACAGTAAGCGCTAGAAGACGGATCTCGTTTGAAATGACTTGCCATGTTATGTACGCAACGCCGCCACCGATCTGATAATTGTCACGACAGACCATGAAATAAGCCGTAATGACCACGATGAAGAGTTTCTGACAGAGCGCAAGCAACATCGAGCGGGCGATGCTAGCTTGATCGCCCTTATCGGACAGTGTTTTCAGTTTCAATGAAGTAATACGTGCGAAGCCCCCAATTACCTTAGTGAATATGTAGCCAAACATAGGGTCTGCGGAGAAGGCACGCCTATGAGTCTCCAACATGCGAGGTAGATGCCCTATGTATGATGAGTGCCGACCTTGACAATGTACGACCATTCTCACTGAGATCGGCAGGCTCTACTTGATGCTTAGGTCTAGCCATGGCTAATCAGACCGGCGATCGAGAAACATGGAGTCGAGAAACGCGACGGACGCGATCATGCAGATTTATATGGAACCGCAAGCTCAAGATCTCAGGCACGGACTTCTCTCATTCAGAAATCAGCACGGAACGGAAGCTCATATTCTCCCTGGATCTAAAGAGCCAGCTATCTCGTGCAATCATGTGTACAAATAACCTACAAGGCTCAGTGCGAGACGATCTCTGGTAAAGGCTCCGGGTGCCGTGTCATCTTGAAGAATGTGAGATGCGATAGAAGGCTGACGTAAGGAATACGAACAATGTCTATGCGCGAAGGCGGCGCTGCCCAAGCAGGGTTATCGTCTCCTATGGTGAGGGACCCGATGACATTGAAGCCGCTTGATTCGTAAAACGACCGGTTCTTCGCATTAGTGGACGTGAGCCACAGTTTCTCCTGCCGTGCGTCAGCCTAAATCGTATGAGCATTCGTAGACACGGCCATATGTATATCAACTGACTCACCAGTGCGCAGACAGTCTGCATCAATGTTCGGCCGTACCCTTTTCCATGGAGACAAGGGTCGGCTACAAGAATGGAGATAACAGCGTACTTGTACTTATCGGGAAGTACCTCAGCTAAGAGTGTTTGTTTCTTGGTGTTGTACTCCGCATCCCTGCTTCTCTGCTCTGGGGTAGCAAAAGTTGCATGCGCCCACATAATGAAGGATAATATCCATCCCATCAATCGATCATCTGCCGGAGGCGCGATGCCAGCGCTCCCTCTGGTTCGACTTCAGCACACGAGACGTATTCGGGAGCTTCGACATACATCGTGATAAAGGCCAGCCCCCCGCCGATCTGGTAATTCGTACGTTTGAAGAGATAGGCAACCGTGAACATTGCGATGAAAATCTCTGTGCAAATGAAGAGACCTGCTTAAGTCGTCAATGACTGGCAGACAAGTACTGAGACGTGACGAACCCCAGCGACCAGTAAATCCTCCTTCGATGTCCTAGATAGAGGATCGGGTCAGCTTAAGCAGCATCGTCGACAGCGACGAATGGACATTACTGTGTTATATATGTAGTTGAGCATAGGATCAGAGTGCAAGCCTCGGTGATGGGTCAACAACATCCTAGGGAGGTGAACTTAGGAGGTTCAGCAACCGATGACCGCTCACAGGAATCCGGGTTCAACCTACTCAAGCGCGCTGGCTTTACAGGAGGAGATTCGCGGACGTTCGAGGATGGCATGACACAATACCGAAGGACTGGACACAAAGCTGTACACTCTCTTATATACCTTCGACTTCCGCCACTAGGCCCTCGAGGACGTCTGATGCGAGGGTGCGGTCGAGTCATGATGTTGATGACTGTATACGGGTTCGGTCCCGGCGGGTCCACTGCCGTGCTGTAGTAGAGCAACGTACATAAAAAGCTTGGATCAATGGGCTGTTAAGGAGCGATTCAAATGCGCGCCAGTACGTCGCGCCTGGCTCGCTAGATGATACAATGAATGGCGTCTGAAACATTGTGTGATATCGAGCTAGATCACTAGCGCATACACCGGCCTCGACCGCGCTTAGTGCTGCCGCGGTTCATAGATCATCTTGGCACAATCGCATCTGAGTTGACGAATGTGCAGTGCAGCATACAGACGTACCATGCGTGCCACCACGAGAGGCGAGGAATCCAACACGATCTCTCCGACAATCTCGAAGCCACAAGACCGATAGAACCGATCATTTCTGGCATTGCTTGATATCAACCAGACCTTGCGATGTCTGCTATCAGCCTGCAGAGCACGTCAGACAGGTATGATTGATGGGTACCGGAAGACTGGCTTACAACGTCTGTGATGGATCGCACAAGGGCTTTGCCCAGGCCTCTGCCTTGCAACTCCGGAGCGCACGCAAGATGGCCTGGTCATTGAGACTGAGTGTCTCGTCCGGTGTAAATGATATGAAGGATCACATACTGAGCGACATATATTGATCACCGTCATCTCCAATGATGCTAGCGATTGTGGCCTCCATCTTAGACTCGATTTCCGTAGCCCTACGCCGTTGTTGATGTGTAGACAGAAGCGGCCATACGAAGCGGTCGTAGGCTTTGCCGATTGCGACCGGGATCAAAGACAGCGGATTGTCCA